GTACGTGTAGTACGTAGTCGTAGTGTAGTAGTAGTGTAGTGTAGTAGTAGTAGAGTAGAGTAGAGTAGAGAGAGAGAGAGAGAGTAGGAGAGTAGAGTAGAGAGAGAGAGAGAGAGAGAGAGAGAGAGAGAGAGATTGACTATTTGGCTATCTTGTTTCGGTGCGGGTTTGGATGCAGATCGGACAGGACTCTCGGAGTAGCGACTCTCAAGTGCCTGCCGCATTTAAACAATTCACCATGTCTCAGAAAGAGAAAACTCTCGATGATCTTGTGCAGAACCAATGGCTCTGTTTCACTGGGGATAGGAGGATTGGCCTTGGTGTCCGTTCCTTTCTTGATCTAAGAAGCTGGTTTAGGAACATGAGCATTCCATCCTGTGATGTCTGCAATGAAGCTGGGATCAAGGTCCTCCTTAACTTGAATAGACATTTATTTTTGAAAGGGTCCCTAGCATTATGCCTTTTTAGCTTTTTCGATATCTACATTTCAATTGTAAGTAATTTGGATACCCATTGAGAAATTGATTATTTTTTCTCCAACCACTTTCATTATTTTCACTGGTTCTGCCTTTTTCCCATGAGCTATTTGTTTCTTTTTCCTCTCTTTCTTAACACACACATGCTTATCCGTAATTGATGTCTTAGCCGTGTAAATTTCTTTAAATGAACAGGCAGAATCATGCCCTAATGGACGCTGCAGTGTCCGGATCCATGATTACTGCTTAAGGAAGAAATTCTCAACAAAAAAGGTTTGCATCCGACTCTATCAATGTCTTTATTTTCCCTTCATGTTTTCTTAGGTCTTATTCATTTTGTTTTACCAAATCTGTGGTTTTTCCTTTTTCCTTTTCCTTTTTATTGCGCTTTCCTTTTTCCATGGATACGATAAAAGTATCACATGGGCATTTGTCACATTTGTTAGTGGTTATCCATTTGCCCTACTCTCTCTCTCTCTGACAGCGGATTTTAAAGCATGTCCTTTACAATTTTTGCTCTCTCTCATGATACGCCTTTCAAGTGTTTTCTTCTTAAAAATTTCCAGGCAGCTATGGTTTGCCCGAGCTGTGAAACTGCATGGCCGGTTGTGGAAACAAGGGATGAGGAAGTAGGAGAAGAAATTGGACATGTTGATCCTCCACGATCATCAAGAAAGAAGCTTAGGACCTGCAAAGCCGAATCAGTCAACAACTTTGAAGCAGGCCCATCTCAGCTCTCTCAGCCCGTCACCCGGAGGGTGACCCGAAGTTCTCAACACCTTAGGTGAACCAGTGACCCCCCACTCCACCTCTCTCTCTAAGCTTTGTGGTTTGGGCCAGTAAGATTTGACCTATGATGCCTGTTATTACGGAGATTTGCAAAGAATCGGTTCAGTTTTTACCGGCATGCTTATTTGCGAGGGACTAATGTATTTAGCAATCTTTAAAAAGATCAGTGGACCGAATCGTCCACTCCCAGTACTGGTATGGATCAGCTGGAATGGTGATCCAGATTGTTCTCAAATCATTTGAATAAGTGATCCAAAGGTTTTTAAGAAATATATAAAACAAAATAAAAATTAAAATAGAGGTTTATGTGATGGGGATTTAGGTGGGGACCACATAAAACATTGGATAAGTTTAAAGAAAGAAGGAAAAAAATGATAAGGGGGGTTTCTAGATGGTGAGAGATTAATGGATGGATTTTTTTCCTTTGAATCGGTGACCTAGATCGGAAATTGCTCATCTTTGTTTAGAATTAACTGGTTAGGTTAGGTTGGTGGTGTTTGTGTTGTCCTACTTTTCAGGATGACTGATGATGGGAACTGAAGAGCATCCGTTGCATAATCTGCAGTTAGACAGAGAGAGTTAAGGGGGTTAGACAATGAATGATGAGAGGGTTTGGAAATGAATATGGAGTACTTTTGCATGTGGTCCCACACGCATAAAACCTGACCGTTCTCAACTGTTGGTTTCGGCTATTTTTTCATAAGTTTAAGTATCTGAAGGTCTGAAATGATCTTTTATCAGATAGCTCAAAGTACATTATTTCATAACTTTATCTTGACATGAAATTCAGAGTTGTATCCACTTTTGTATCACACTAAGATAAAAAAATTATTTGGATAGAACTTCGACAATGTAACTTAAAATAATAATTACCCGATTTAAAAGGAAGAGTGTGGTTTGTGAAAGGTTGCAACCTCGAACACCTCCAAATTTTATCATAAATATAATTTTTGTGTAAAAAATTTTTAAGAGTGGGTTGAAAATCTATTTTTATCTTTAATTATAAAATTTTAAGCTCTAAAAAAGGTTCAAATCAAGTAGATTTATAAATACTTAAATCTTGAAAATGGACAGTCTAGATAATGTGTTGCAACACATTTTTAGGATTCACCATCTTTTTTTCCTTTCATTGTCAAATATCTAGATATTTAGATGATCAATTAGAGAGTTTTCTAACATCGAAACAACTTTTTATGATGGATTTTTGAGGTGCATTTTAGTTCTACATTTTAAGGTTGCAAACTTTGTATATAAACTTTTTTTTAAAAAAGAAGGAATAGCCATAAGCAAAAAAAATTAATGTGATAATTGACAAATAATACGTGGGCTGTTTAATCACATCTCCTATCCTCAGCTACACCAAACAAAATGAGCTTGGCAAAATTTCCATGGGATTTTTATGAAGGAAAAAGTTTATGTAAAGATGCAACTTTATAATGTAGAGGTACAGATACATCTCAAAAATCCATCAGAAAAAGTTGTTTTATTGTTGAAAAACCCTTTGATTGATCATTCAAGATGTATGATTATGAAAAATAAAAAGTTTTTAAGTCTCAAAAATAGTGCATTTTACAATATGCTATCTATACCGACTATTTTCAAGATTTTCATATGTTTATAGATCTATTTGATTTTAACCATTTTTAAAATTTTAAATTTTATAATTAGATATAAAAATAGATTTTGAAATAATCCTAAAAATATTTAACATCAAAATTATATAGCATGATAAAATTTGAAGGTGCACCTCACATCTACACCTACGGATGCACCCAACTGCAACCTTTAATAAATAGTGGTGTATTAATCGATAATCTGTTTTGAAGGCAACGATCACCTAAATGATAAGAAAAACTACATAAACTTTTTTATTTAATGAAAATTTGTCGTGTGTCATGGGGATAGGAGTCCAAACCAGTAGATCCTCCTGCACTAAAGCAAATGCTCACAATACCCTCTTCTCATATCCACGTGTATTTGCACTACCATGAAGTCTAAAACAACATGCCTTGATGAATTTGGGGTCGAACAAATTTTGCATAAAATTCCAGCACCCACATAGAGGGAGAGAGCTGGGTAGGATTGGGTTCGGATCCACTAATATTTAATTTCGGAAAAAAAAAGTACATATGGGATCAAGATCAAGATTTGAATCTGATCAAATCTAAAAAATTATTTTATATCTATAAAATAACATAAAATAATATCTAACAAAATAAAAATAAAAATAAACAAACATATTTACATATCTATACAATAAAATATAGTATTTTAACTAGGTCAGACCAGAATCGAATCTGCTTGTATTTAGATCCAATTTAATTACTATTCAGATCCAAATTTTGAATATGAAATTGACCTGTCGGATCCCTAGATCTATACCCGGATCCAAATAGAGTCCAAATTTCAAGTTTTGGATTTAAACCGAGTCAATTCTCAGCCCTAAAGAGAGAGGAAGAGAGGGAGGCAACTTCTCATAAGCTTACTCTCTCAATTAGTTTTCTAGAAGATCACAGCAAGTTCTGCGTATACTACCAACTAAACCTAACCATGTAAACAATGAATATCCGAACCGATTCTAACTCGGTTGTACACACTGCAAAACATTATTAAGCAACAAAACCAGAAAATCTTATTGGGCCGGGACAGAAGTAATCAACATATTCTCCATCATCATACCACATTATGGCAGAAATCAACCAAAAAAAAGCTGGAAATTCTCAAAATTCTTCTCTCTACCACAATTGGATTGCCGCCTCGATTCAATGCAAAAGCGAAGGAACCTGCACCATCGATTCAGTGCAAAAGCAAAGCAACCTGCACCATCCATACATATACTTTTGTCAATGCTTATATATTCCACCCTAAAGAGAGGGACGTTCTCTAGTTAATGCAACTATTATTGTCTCATTATAATCAAAGCTTTTTCCCAATTAATTAGAGTCGGCTATATACCTATGGACCTGATTTCTATTCGGTCCAGCCTGCATATATAGAAATCTCTTAAAAAATCTATTTTTGCGATGGATTTTTGTACTTAATTTTTAAGGATATGTAATCTCTAGCAAGGAGATCATGAATATGAAAAAATAAACAAATTTCAAAAACTAAAAGTAATAATTCTAGTAAGAAAACATTTGGACCATTAGTTTCCATTGTTTTCAGATGGAACACCTACTTGCATTCATCTTTAAGATGGATGCTTTACACTTTCTAGACAACATTTGTAGAAATGCGATCCAACCCGCATGAAACAATTTTCCTATACTTATTCATACTTATACATTTCCATGCTAGAGAGAGAGATGTTCTTGTGCAATTAATGCAAATATCATACTCCTAATAAGACAACTACTTGTCCACGGATTAAGAATATAATAGATCGTATCGAATATGATCCTCGATCTTTGGTATTTAAAGGTCACAATTATCCCTAGCTATCAAATTCAAATCATGGATTGAGTATAACTCTTGACAATCATCATTATCTGTAACAATCCTAAAATTTC